CATCTGGAAACTGGTAGAGGGGGGTCGTATTGTGTCGCGACTTCTCCTGTTTCGCTTGTGCTGTTTACCCCCCCCCTCCTCGACGACTCGATTCGATGACGATGGAACAGCGGGCGGAGCGGGAAGTCGTCGTACAAGCCAAAAAAAGCGCGGGGGCCTGGTCGCAACAACAGACTCGACTAAAAAGAGTCGCGTTAAACTTCGCGCTCAACGGCGATCGGAATCGCTACGTCTAGGATCGCGCGAGTCGATGCGCTGCGCCTAAGGATCGCGTGATCGCGAAAAGTCTGAACTTGCGCGCGCCTTAATGATGTGCCCTGGTAAGGCAGCGTTCAGACTCAAACGGCAAAAGCGATTCCATCGGCGCTATCAATCGCGATTCGACGCGGGGCGGCGGGGCGTCGAAAGCATAGCGTCGAATGCGCGACAAAATAGAAAACGTTGGTGTGCAGTCGCGAGTCTGAGCGCTGGGCCTTGGGCTACGTTCATATTTTGCCGTCAGTGTTGGAGCGTAACGGCAGCGCGAGCAGCCAGAGATTATAGGTTCTCAAATGCTAGCATTTTCCAACAAGGGCGAGCACGTTTAATTATTCGCAGGTAGTTCTAAACTTTTCGCGGGCAGTGGTTGAAAACAACCCACAGAGCGATAGGTCGATATCTATGCTTTTCTGGTACCCAAAACGCTGAAGCATGAATACCGCCAAGTATCGGCAGGTTTAAGCGTGATGAATGCGGCCGTATTTAGTCACGAGGAATGGAGTCGTATTGAACCCGACGAACTTGCCTATTGTTGGTTTTCTCCTTTTCGGGGCGCAATACTTCCATCATCTCATTGGGAATCTTGGCAATTTTACTCTTAGAGCTGATCAGTGGTTAATTAAATCGACGATTATCGGGGGTCGTATTTGTAGGAGAAGATAGGGGGGCGGTGCGTAATCTAGGAGAAATCGCCTTTGATTTAAACCTAAGTCTGAATGACCACGAGTACGGCTACTTTTGTTTCCGCGGACTTTTCCAGGGTTCTGTTCCTCAGACAACTTTCACACGCTCTGTATTTCTCTGGTACATCTTCATTCTTTTGAAATGAAACAAAGCAATGATAACTGGCATCGATCGTACAACTCGCCTCGACTACGAAACTTTCTGCCATTCTAAGGTCGAGTAATTAGTACCAAACTAGTCCGGGGAGTTGTGAACACTAAGTTTGCCAACAGCGGACACCTAACAGCTTTAGTTCGCTGCCGGACGTTTAAAGCGGTCAGGCAAACTTGAGTTGTCATCCCGTCAAAAGCGTTCACTGCCTCATTGTTGGAAAGCGCAGCAGAGGGCGACAAAAAGTGGTAGAAAACGAGTAATACGCACGATATGATATGGTCATATCATTTGTTGCTTTAACAACTGGTGGAGAACGGGTTTGGCACCGTGCAAACTCATCCCGCCCTGCCACGCCCAACTGTCCGCAGCGAACTACACTATGCATTATTCTCTGTAGTGGTGGAGAGCGCCTCTGGTGTATTCCTATATGTATATCGTTCTTGAATGGAAGTGGAATAATTGTGTCATTTACCAGGAAATAGATAGATTTAGAAATAGGTTTCAGCAACTTGGAGAGGGTGAGGCATTTTGATAGTTCCTGTCACCGTGCCACGGCATTTTGTAAACACCTGGAGTGCGCTAAACTTTGCGTCAGCGTTCGAGATACGCGACAAGAGCGCTCAGACTTCGCGATCGCGCGATCGCTGTGATCGCGTGATTTGGATCGCGCGATCGCTGTGATCGCGCGATCTGGATCGCGCGATCGCGCTACTGTGGGTGAAATTACACCGGGAGGGGGTCATGTTCGTTCATGTTAGATTTCCTGTTTTTTTTTCCTTTTCCTTCTTTCTTCCTTTGTGTACATAACGCCCTCCTAATTTTAAGGAACGTTTCGAAATATCTTTGAGTTATTTATTATTTCCTATGTAAAATAGTACTAAATATACAATATGCTAATTATTATACTGAATTTTGCATCTGAGTACGTTCAAGCGGAGTATTGAACATCTTGTTCCAAAGTAAAGACACGCAGAACTTTCAACAGCGGGTGATGTTGTTTCTCTCCCTTCCCCCGATTTTGCCAGTTCTCCAGATATTCACTTTACTTTTGTCACATTGTGTTGCTTTGTTTGTTCTGCCATCCTCCAGGTCTATACACAACCTTTCCTTTCGACGGTTTCTGCAAACGTCAGTATTGCGAATATGAACACGGAATAAAAGACATCAAAAAAGGTCGAACTACTTTTATATCGTTTTTGGAACTGCCTATTGGAGGCAGGATACAGCATCGTGATGTGAGAAATGGTGATATCAGTACGACTCCCTAGAATTTTTGTTGTTGTTGTTTGTTGAGTTGAGTTGAACACGAACGAACATGACCCCTCCCGGTGTAATTTCACCCACAGTAGCGCGATCGCGCGATCACAGCGATCGCGCGATCCAAATCACGCGATCACAGCGATCGCGCGAAGTCCTGAACGCGCTTCTAGAAAGTACTGGCGTCGATCTAGCCTTTCGAGCGTATGCCAGCATTTCATGGATTTCGAGGATAGTTTTGCAAGCGCTTGGATCATATCTGTAACTTCCTACGTTCAACCGCGCTGACAGAAAGGTAATGAACGCAGCTTAAACTGAATATGTTCGGTACAAACAAGTCGGTACAAAGCATCATTCTGTGTACTGTATATATTCCAATTCGTCGTAACAAGAAACTAGTAAAACCGCAAACATTTTCTTTCAGCACGTTCAGGAATGGTAACACGCACCTGATTTCGAGGAGGATATCACTACACAACGAGTTTGAGGAAATCCGTCCATCCGGAGTTCTATCCTTTCAGGAGGTCCTTACTTATCTGTCAGTCTCTCTCGCATTGTTTGTTCCTTTACTCTTTGTCCTTTCCTCCTTCTCTCTGCCACTTTTGAGGCGAGGTCGGTGTAGTGGCGAATGGCGCACGGTCCCGGATCAGCTCCCGTCCCAACCAATCAAGCCTCCTATCCTCAGGAGAAGGTAAATTGGTACCAGATTCGTACGGGATGATAGGAATACTGACTTGTACATCAGCTGGCCCTACAAATCATTGTGCATCCCAAAATGGTATCAGCGGAGGGTGACGTTATCCCCATATCCTTTTTTCATTCTTTCTTATTTTCGTACCTTCCAATACTTGGCCAGAAGATGTCACCCTCCCCCTGGTTCAAGATCTCCTCGCTGCACTCCCAAGACCTGATGCCCGTCTAGCCGTAAAAAAGTAAAAAAAGACCAAGACGGGCTTTTACACTAACTAGTGAAGGTTTGATTAACAAGTCAGCCTGGCCATTTGCAATGAGATGCACATCACTGTACTCATCTTGACACGGTAAACTCAGAACTGTCTTCAAAATTTGCAGAACGATTCTCTGAGCGGAGTTATGGAGGTTTTTCTTTACTATTTTTCTTCTTGGGCGCGGTGGCGCCGAAGCGTTGGCACATGTAGCGCGACTCACAACGCTCTTCGCGCAAAACAGGTATCATATTCGTGTTCAGGGGGTCAAATAACCCCTAGGGACGTCACCTTAGCAAAATCTGAGCTTCTGACTCAACTTCGAAAAAATGGGTATGGATAGTCATGGCTGACTGATAGCTAACAGCGATACTATGACTAGCATACTGGTGATGACTGGTCTTCGAACTGAAATAACTCTTCAGTCATGTCTTTTCGCAAACAACAGTACCTGGCTTACTTATTTGTGCCGTCTGCATCATTTTCTTATCGGGAGGAAATCCCATTCCGAGACCAGTCATCGATGGTAGGTGAGCTCCAATCTGCTGCTAATTACCCATGGAATAGCCCACATTTTCCAAGTGAGGTCGAAATATCAGATTCGGCTAGAAACTTGTCTCCAGGGGTAATTTAACCCGATGCGTCTACATGATCGCTGGTTCCCTTATAGGGTAGTGCAGGCGACAGAAATGTTAGAGGATTTGTCGGCTATGTTAGAAGATTTGTCGGCTATGTTCTTGGACAAATGCAAAAAAGGGCCTGCCCGGAACCGATCCTACGACGTCTCGCCTAAGAAACCCGCTCCCTACCCGTTGCGCTCTGCTACCACGTTTCAGAACGACTCCATACATAAATGTAAAGACGCTTCCACGTTTCCTCGCGATAGCATGTGAAACGACCATGCGGGGATAAAACCCTCCATAACTCCGTTCAGAGAATCGTTCTGCAAATTTTGAAGACAGTTCTGAGTTCACCGTCCCAAGACGCGTACAACGGTGTGCAGCTCATTGGAAATGGCCGGGCTGACCTGATGACCTTTCCTGGTAAGCCCAACCATTTTCTAGCTTAACAGGATTTCACAGGTACTTACAAAATGGCGCGGTATGTTTACAGGAATTGACAAGATGCCTCTATCCCCCTCATAGCCGACTTGTGCTTTCCGGGAAAGAGGATTGAGGCGATACCTTAGCTCTTAAGGTTGAAGTGAATACAGTAGTATATCACACCTTTGTAACGCGTTATCAGTAAAAACCTGATTACACGATAGAAACTGACAAGGACATCAATCCCGCTGGCAAACAACTGTGTTACGGGCGACAACGGCGCAGCGGTCACGTTTCGCCGCCAAAGCTGTCACGCGACGCCGCACCCTGGGCTGCCGACGTCGCGCGCGACTGGTGCGTGAGGCTTGCGACGCTGCACGCGGGCCAAAACATGGTGCATTGTTTAAAAATTTCACTGTTTCACAATTCTAGCCATGATTTTTGTGCTCTGAGTCCACTAAGGTTACTTTCATGCCGACTGCGCCTAGATTGGTCATCGGTTTGGTTATTCGCTTGAGTTGTTTCACAAAAAAGCTTCATGAAAACGGCGTATTTCAGATTCATTTTCGGCATTGCCTTTTGTTTTGGGTCATCTTTGTAACATATTTTCGGCGAATTTCGTACTCTGCATGGAGTAGTGCTGGATCGGTGCCTTAATCAGATGGATCCTCATAACCCTCAAGTTGGTCGTTTTTTTAATTTTTAGATGCCTGTATTCTTATAATTTTTCATTTAATTTGGCTATTTTTTCTAATATATGCGACGTATTTCTTTGCTAATTTTTACTTCTTGAAACAGGGAAATTTATAGGGTACTGGAAACCTTAACATGGGGATCCAGGGCCAGCCAATGACGGCACAAGGGTTAGGGCAAACCCAATACAATCAGCAGGTAGAGTTCCTCAATGCTGTAGTTTTTAATAAGTGTTTCATGAAATCTCCTATTTGTACATTAATTTATAATGGGTATTCTAGATGTTGCTTGCCCAGCAACAATATATGAACAGTTTCAACTCGTTCTATGGCAATAATCAGGTGACTTCTGATAATTTCAATAAATTTCTCTTTATTTTTCATTCCACTTTCGCAACAGCAATTTGGGTTTTAGTTTTCTTCACAAATGTTGTCCATGGATCCTTTTCAACAGCAGCAACAGCTGTTCATGATGCAGTCGCAACAAATGCAACCAGTTTTTCAACAACAACAGCAACAACAGGCATCTTTAGTTTCCTTTTACTATATTTTTAGCCTTCGTAATCTCCTTCTGATGTGTCATATTTAATTTTTAGGTATTGCAACAGCAACTCCTTAGCCAACAGCAAACGCAACAACGGTTTTCTCAACAGCAGCAAGTCCAACAGCAACAAGCTCTTGTTGGTTATCTTATTTCTTGTAGTAGTTGTTTGTTGGATTTTTGGTTCAACTTCTTGTATTTATACTACAATTTTCATTTGTATTACGCACCGTTTTTGATGGGATGAGTTTAGCATAACCATCAACAACGGCTTTTGGAAGAGCAGCAACGGCAAATTGAACTCGCTCGTCAGCAACAACAGCGACAACAACAAGAGGAATTGCTGCGACAGCAAAGAATCAAGGTTTATTGCATGTGTAATATTGATGTTTGTTTTTTTTCTTGCCGTTTGTAATGCATTTCTTTTCCAAATAATCCAAAAGTCACAGTCTACTAACGCATTCCTTTACGTTTTATGAGCTCTTTTGTGACGGTGAGGTTGTTAGGTAGTACATTTTTATGGCCTGACGTTTCGACTATATCGTCTTCATTGAAGGCCTACGTGGCTCTAGTTCACTACTTTCTTTAGAATGCCAGGACCTCCGCTCTCCAAAGTTTCTGACAGACCATTAAGAAAACCATAGAAAAATTCCCAATGAGAGGAAAGACTCACACAGTCCACCATGTGAGAGCAGGAGTCGCTCAGCAAGTTGCTAGTACAATTAGTGGGACTTACTGTGTCAAGCTTGTAGAGCTGCTATCCGCTTACGCAGTGGTGAACTGATTGAGTTGTTCTCTCTTTGGGGATTTTTCTGTGCTTCTCTTGATAGTATGTCAAGAACGTTGAGGTCAGCAGGTCTCTGGTAATGCAGAAAGAAAATTGTAAACCTTTAGCTACGATTAGGCCTCTGATGAAGACGAATTTTCTTTACTGATAAATTTGACTTGATTCTGTTTCGTCTAAATTGGGTGAACCTCCTTTATTCACCATTAGTACTAACAAGCCTCATATAGGAAGCCGAAGAGCAGCAACGTCAGCGTGAGTTACAAGCACAGCGGGAAAAAGAGCAGCAAGAGCTTCTCAAGAAGCAGGTACGAATTTCTCCAACGCCTATTATCTTTTATTTTATTCGAATGCAAACTGTTCCATTGCTGCATCTGTCTGACAAAATGATTTTTTTTCGTGTAGGAAGAAGAAAGGCGAATTGCTGAAGAGAAGCGTCGTCAGGAAGAAGCGGAGCGACGAAAATTAGAAGAGCTTAGAAAGGTTCGAGAAGAACAATTGAAAAAGCAGCAAGAGGCTCAACAGGTAAACTTTTGCGGTTTTTTTTTCATAGAAATCCCGATTGTGTTTATGCATGTGACGTGCGCAATATTAATTTTGAATTGAGAATTTCTATTTTTGCTTAATATGCTCAATCGTACTATACCATTAGCCTAATAGAATATTTAGCTGGAATAATGATCTCTTTTTAAGGCTCTGAATGAGATGAGAGAACGCGTGAAGCAAGTTCAAGCCGGACAAGCCCTGACTCTCGTAGCAACTCACTTTAACACATCATGTTAGTATTGAGATAAGATTTCCTTGTCTGTAATTGAGCACAGCGTTATTATATTTTTTTAGATATCAAAACGGTGCCATTCCCAAGTGAAAACATGATTAGCTCGAAACTGCCTTTTGTCTGTGATGGGTCGATTATGAAATCTCTTCTGGATACATCTGATCCGATTTTGGTGCAGATGGTGTCGCAAGCTTTGTCCACTGTTGACGTTAGTGACACGTGAGTGACATAATATTGTTGCTTTTGATTTTCTTAAACTCAATTCAATATTATTTTTTCCTCTGATTTCTTATAGTCTGTATGATTTTCATCGAAGTCAGTGATGTTTTGACTGCTCTGCCCACCTCTAGATCTGTAGCAGCTCTACTTGCCCTCCTTTTACTTCTTCCTTTTTTTGTCATTTTTCTTCTTCTTTTTTGGACTTTTTCCTAGAATTAGGGCGAGACTTACACACACGTGTGGCGAACATGTATATTGGAAGTGTTTGGTAGGTGCTCCTCGATCTTTTTCTTTCCGATTTTCGTTTACTCTTTTTGGCGCAGTTCGGCGACGAGGGGGTTGGCATTCTGCACTTCACTGGTCTCAGTTTACAAGCCTCACACTGGTGATTGCGAACTCATGTGAAGCTGGGGCAAGCTCGTCGTGCCGCATGGTTAAATCTGTCGACTCTAGTATGTTCATGAAACGTCTCGCTAGATGGCTCAAGACGCCGATGGGAAGTAGTAAAAGTGCAAAATGCCCTCTCCCCCCCCCCTTCCGCCCCGCCGAACTGTCCTCTCTTTTCTACCAGAGAATGACATCTTGTCGATCTCATATCCACCTATTTTCTGCTTGGCATTCGGCGAATGTAGCATGTAGAAAGATCTATTTGCTGGAGTAGGATTGAAGTAGATCTGCATCTGTCATCAAAAGAATCCTGCAAAGCCATTCTGCAGCTTTCCTGTCGCGCGATTATTCAGAGTTGGGTACCCCTTCTCCTAATTTTGCTGATGATAGTGTGCCTGAAGATCATATGCAATCATTTCACTAACCGCGCCAGCATCAAAGAAAAGTACGATAGGTTTGCATGGCCTTTCGAGAAGATGTACACTTTCTGGTGTATCTCAAAGCGTTCATACTTTGCATCAGCGTTTTGAGCGACTAAAAAAGTATAGCTATCGATCAAGTGTTCGGAGCGTATTCCAGCGTAAGGCAGCGGTTTGAGATTTCCATGGGAACTATTAAGCTTTTCGCGGGCAGCCGTAGAAAACTCTGGCGTACGCTCAAAACGCTGTCGCAAACTATGAATGCAGCCTTAGGATTTTTGAACTAAGCGCGCTCTTATTCGGCACGTACATGAGTTGTCCCCCCCCACCGCTCCCAGGTTTCTTTAGAAAAACTTTAATGTGCCCAAAACTCTGCCGTCATTTTGCGTTATTTGTTATTGGGATTTCATTATGGGATCATCGCAAGTGTGAGTGATTGTGGCCTTGAGAAAGGGACGTGCCGTCAGAAGCTCGTAGTTCCTGCTGCGAACGCTTTCGCGCTAGATGTAGAGAAACGCGTAGGAGGTCAAACTACTTCCATGGACAAAGTCCCCTGCAAAGTAGATTTAAGCGCGAGAATAACCTGAAATCAGCGTACGAGGGGCAGCCGTAGGGGTACATCCGTCCTAACGGCCACCTCGACCAACCTTCATTTCCTGGTTGATTTATTCTTTCTGTTCAATGACAGACGAAGACGGCATATAATCACCTAATGGGCTTTCGCAGTTGCTGTAAATAGTCCTGTATGAAACTTGTTTTGCACTAGCAGCAGGGAAGATCAGAACATTTTTGAAAACAGGCAGTTTTGCTCACAATTTATCGCTCGATAAACATGTTTTTCAACGCGATGTAGATAGTTGATGAGGCAACATTTCGTAAGACCTCCGAAAAGAGGATATGCTGTCGCTGTTGCTAACCCGGATTCTTTTCTGTTTCGCTTACTATTTTTTTCTAACTCTTCTTTTTTTGTATATCTTGACAGTGCGTAAGTGCAATCCTACTGGCTCACGGCTTTAGAGATCGAAAAATTGGAGATTCCGCGCCTGAGAAAGTATTTTTATCGATCTGGAGACAAAATTCCGCTAAAAAGCATTGAGTGTGTATTGATTGATCTTCCCTAAGGCCGCTTTCATGCCCTGCGGCAATAGGAAATAGTTCAGTTCAATTTCTATAGTTCACCAGATCGACATGTATTATTCCTTTTCGCCGATCCTGCAATTCTTCAATTCATCAATCTTCTCCGTCGCAAGGTATGAACTCAGCCTATGCCCGCGTTCATACCTTGCGAAACTCAAGGGGGGGGGGAGTCTGACAGTGCATGGTATTTTTGCAGATACTTCGGTTCTCTAAATTTTGCGCTCCTGCAATTCTTCAGTGCTGCAGACATTAGCGCAACCTTGCTTGAAACCTTAATGGGAAGTATTAAATACATTCCTCGCGCTCAGGCAATTAGTAGGCGTCCTTCCTTGTTGAAGTCCCGCAGTCTAGATTGCCTTTGTTTCGTGGCTTCAAAGTGAGTAACAAGGGTGCTGCAGCCCACTGTGTGGCAGTTCTCACACCTGCCCAGTTATCCCACCCACCGAAACGCAAAGGCTATTTTCTTCTCGATTTTTGTTTCTACGTAGTGTTTTTCGTTTTTTTTCTTCATTGGCAATTAGATAGCATTAGCATTGGATGACATGAAGAAACGATTAGTGAGCCAAATACGGTAGGGGTACCTTTATGGCTAGAATGAGCAGGCCCGAAAAACTCATCCAGAGAGGCTGCCAGGTCTTTAGGGTGTTCTCTCCAATTTTTTTTTGCTTTTTCCTTATCTGGGGAGTCACCTATCGACTATATGTTTGTAATTGGACTCTTCTCTTTGCAAGCGTTGGATTCGATGGATGTGATAGGACTTAGCGCGGTCAATATCGTACCAGAGATTACTTATGTTAGGAAATGGTGCAATTTATTGTATTCATCCTGATGCCTCATTCGTGGAGGTTTTTTTCATGGGGAATACCAAAACTTCTAGGATTGGGTGAGTAACCGTAAGAAAAAGAGGCACGTCTGGAAGTGACGCCACATTTATTTGTTGTTTCCAACGTTCCTTCCACGTGTATCTTTTGCCTATCCCGTTTTGCGTTGTTTTTTGTTACTTGACATGTTTTTTCTTACTTTTTTGTGAGCTTTCTTCCGCTTTTTCCTCATTGTCTTCCATAGCGTTCCTGTCTCCGGTCCACATAGCAGCGCGGCTCTCTCCCCTCGGTTTTGGGAGGACCTATACCGCTTTCCGTTCCCAAATCAAGTATTCGCCAAATGGGTGAAGTAACGCACGTCCCTGGGTACAGAGATGGTCATCATTCTTCAATTTTAGACCCTTTTATAGAGTTCGGCTGCGCTTGGATTAACATCGGTGGGTGAAGGCCGGTTGCTAGCGTTTATACTCATGTCCCCCTTTTGAGATGGGCGAAATGGTAGTGTTGGTAAGACCCTTGAAGGTGAAAGCCTGATTTGACCCCCCCCCCCCCTCACAGCCATGCTTCCGTTCTACCATCTTCTGCCTAAAATTTTACGTCGGGCGAAGGTGAGGGGCGGAGAGTGGGGCACACTTCCGATCAAACTACCTTAAACATAGAACTAGTTTAGGCGCTGTAACTTAGAGGAGGGGCGACTGTCCATGAATCTTGGCATCGGGTTAGGTCCTGTTTTAAGGCGATGATTCCAGTCAAGGTGGGGTTTTTCTTTATCCCAAACACGACCCCCTCCTTGCCGCCTTTCCAGCGAGCAAAACGACTCTTCCCTAATCGGAGGCGTAAGCGATGATGTAGGGCTATTCCTCATTATACCCTACACACCTCTGCTTTGCTCACCTTTGCGATTCACTTGCTTCCAAACTGCTTCCTCACTCTCAATTCGAACTTTTCATTTGTCTTACATGGTTGTTAGAAGTAACTCGAATGGCCAGATTTCTTACCTTTTCTCATTTAGCATCATTCACACACAGCCACGCTCTCTCTCTCTCTCTCTCTCTCTGTCTCTCTCTCTCTCTCACCGCCCTTGTCTGGTCATGCTTGTCTGATCTTGCTTTTTCTCTCAGTGGATGGGAATTGTCATCTTGAGCTAATAAATTGCTGAAGTGGCTTTCTCAATCTTTGTGAATTCAGGCGAACACGTATGGATACTCATGACGGGATTCCGGAATCCAACGATCTTCCCTTGGATTTGATGCCTCCCGTGATTAGAGCAGTCATGAGTGTCAACTGCAACGTACGTGCATAACTGTTTATACGCTATACTAGTGAATATTATTGGTTTTTCGTTTGCAGGCGCTAGATGTAGAACCTGAGCACAACATGGAAGCACCTGAACATCTGCTTAATGACATGGAGCTTGATCCAGCTGTACGTTTCCTCATTGAAAAAGTTTTTTTAGTCTCTTTTTGACCTGGAGTTAGTATTATCAGTAAGGTAACATGCATAGTTAGTTCAGCGAGGGGGCATTCTGTATTTTTGCTGCTCGACGTATCGATCCATTTAGAGGGCCATTTCGTGAGCTTACAAGAGCTGACAGGTTTAACCATGATAGCTCAACGAGTTGCTCCATCTCCACAAGAGTTCACAAGTTCCACCAGAGTGTAACCTGTAAGCCGGTACTAGTAAAGCAACGAAAGTGTCAAACGCCTCTCCCCCTACTTCCCTTTGCCAAATTGCGCCCATGCATACTTGCGTATCAAATGATTTTGTGATTAGCAATGGAGTGTATTCGTCTTCATTTTGTTAGCTCATCTTCGAGTTCATCTTCGAAATCAATCCGCGCTTCGTCACTGATCATAAAATCTGTTGAAGGCAGAGGGCACGATGGCTGGGGGCGGGCGGTTGCTGTCAACGTCACTGGTGGAAGAGCTGGAGAACAATGTGCGGTGTGCCCAAAGGTTCTCCTGCAGCCCACCAGTCACGCTGGTAACACCCACCCGTCTCCTGCAGTTGTCCGCTCTGCCTTTGTTTCGCGCAAAGTAATCGCCAGTCGCGAAGTATAAAGACCGATTCTTTGTTTCCCTTTATGCAGCCTATGAATTACAGCGTGCTTTGAATGCTGCTCCAGCTGTAGTTGAACCTTGTGAGACAACCACTGTGGTGCAGAAGCCAACAGTAACACCAGATAAGCCTTCAACATCATCGGCAAATGAAGACAGTCAGTTTGTTGCACCAGTTTTGGAAGGCAGAGACAACACACAGCTCCGTCGTCAAATGGCAAGTGTAGGAAAACAACCAAAAGCTAGTCAACAGCGGAAAAAGAGAGATCAGGTATGTTGCTCAGATCATCCACCGATGTAGTGCGCTTTGTCATTTCTGAACAAATGCACGATTTCGCAGGTCGAAAGCCTTTATGATTCACTAACGGATTATTTCGATCCTACTGAGGGACGTCGTCAGCGGAAGCGGACGAAAACTCTGGAAGAAGAGCAAGCGGATCAGGTAAAGCCTCGCGGTTTCCCTGGAGCGTGCGCATAATCCCTAGAGGATTAGTTTCTATTTATACCGAATCTGTGGTTTTTAGCGTGACTTAGAGTTGATAGCTGCGATGGAGGCTCAGTCTGCATCGTCAGCCTCAGCTGACGCATCGGGTGCAGAGCAAGGTGACGATCATAAGGTTGGGGACAGCGATGAGGATCGCAAGTTCTATGAGAAGAAAGATCGACGCAGAAAGAAGAAGGATGATGTTCCCGAAAGACCTCCAACTCCAACTGATGGTGAGTAATTGTAAAATCATTTGACCGCTCTTGTAAAAAAGTGTTTTTTTTCAGTCATACAAAAGCGTGACCAAGAATGGACAGAGCGACAACGGAAACGGCAAGAAAAGTTTAGGCGGCGAAAGGGTAACGAAAGCGAACAGGAATGTTGGAATAATGATGTGAGTTAATCATGTAGAGTTTGTTTAGGAGCTCGTTGTTTACGTGTTGATCTGCTTTCATCTTCTGTTTGTTTTTTTATTGCGTTATTGTTTGTAGTTTCTGTACACTGATACGTGAAAACTCCGTCTAAAGCATTGCGTGCAAAGAATACACGTGTTCCGATCGCAAACGCGACATTATTTTCTGGCACCGGCACAAAGTGGTGTTCTTCCTGTTCGAGGCACTGCATACCCTGTTCAGGCCGAGTTTTAGCGGGAATTTGTCATTTTGGGAGCTGTATATTGAAATAGAACTCTCATGCTCCTGATTAGGTCTGTGCATCAACTCCTGCGGTCGCTTTGTGTTAGAGAAAAAGCCGCATTGTTCCACCATTACAGCTCCAAAACTGCCTGAAATTCGCTCAGGCTTCACCTATAGTAGTTATACGGCGCCGTGATCACAAATATACATCTACTTAAAGCACTGGCACCATTTAGCCCCACTTTGGGGCTACTGTCTTTTCCACTTAAACCGGTGAAACCTTGCATAATTGGGTTCTCATCCCACCAAAAATTGTACGAACTTGAATACTTGAGTTATTCAGCATGCTGGCTATTATAGGCACTCTGATCAACTGCGCTCTGCTAAGGATTAGCCTGGCGGAGCGGGGGCACTTCTGCTTCCAGGATCAGCCTTTGCAGGGCGCTGAATTGCGCAAGTATACAGAAAATGCCGTATTCGTGACTAGGATGTCAAACAATCTACTGCAAGTTTTCATCGATTTCGGTGGAAAGGTTTCTGGACTCCTGTTGGCGCTAAATGGTGCCATAGACAAAAAGCACGTGTCGAATTCGTGAGCAGGTCATTGAATAGCCTCTATAAGCGAAGTTTCGACGGAAAAGTTTTTCTTGACTTTTTGGAGTTGTAATAGTGGAAAAAAAGCCGAAAACCTTCCTCAAATAGAACTTCGCGCGCGATAAAAAAATCATCTTTTACCATCAGAAATTCACCATGTCACAGTTAAAATATCGTTGGTTCGCTACTGGAATTTTTCAGATTTATTTTACTGGAAGAGAAGTTTCCTCTCCTTCCTTTCTAATAACCACCATACCAAAAAGTGTTGTCGCTGCATATTATTTTGATTTCTTATAGGTCATGGCAGAACATGACTCAAGAGCTCGTCTAAATGTGATCATCGATCAGATTTTCGATCAAGTTGAAGACCTAGATATGATGAACATAGAACAAAATGGGAAAGGTAACGTAAATCTTCCCTTAGCTTTCCATGCTATTACCTATTCATCGATTTTAGATGAGGATGGAGATGACGACGATGAGGGTGTTAGTCAAGAACTACTGATAGACCGTTCAGTATTGGATGATCTTCGTAACGAAGTACAAAAGCTTCTCACCTGGAAAAAGCTGACAAGCGTGAGTTTTTTTAGGAGTTCTTGATTATGAATTCTCAGGGATTCCAATAATGTTCTTTGTAAGGCGTCAGTGGAAGCTTTCAGATATCATCTGATCGCCTCATAAAGTTGATCACAGTTCTGGAGAGGAATATGCGCGATGTTGTCAGTTCTGACGGCACTCGTCTTCTTGTTCCGATAATTACGGATGAAGTTAGTGTTAAGTTGTGTTTTATTACTTTTCATGCTGTTCTGTAGTTTGTGAGGTTTATGGATCTTTCTGTTCATATTTATTTCCAAATAACATTTCATAGGACGCAGAAGAAGACGACCAGGCTCTTCGGGAACTCCTCGACGAACGTTTGATTCGAGGTGCTGATGCTGCTTGTACAACCTTGATGATCATGACTTGTCACAAAATGCCAAAACAGGTCTGCTCTCGTGAATATTATTGGTAAACTTGTTTCGGTACATCGTTGTTTTAGGTATACATAGAAGATGCCATCGAACGCTCTATCAATCTCTGTCGGCATTACTTGAGAACGATTATCTACCCTGCTTCGGACCCATTGTATGGACCAGGAAGGAAACAGAAAGGTGCTTTTGCCAACTTCTGCGCCACTTTTTTAGAATCAGCCTTTATCTCCGGAAATAACGGCACCACTTTAACAGTACTTTCGATGGATGAATTTTCTGTTGTTGATTTTTTTTTGTAGAAACAAAACGACAGGTTTTTATTACCTTTCATCTTGAACGAATATTTCGAAATTCTATAGCCGGAGTCGTTAAGTGGGTTGGTCTGGCAGCTCCGTAGATATTGCAGCCTCTTATTCAGAGTTTCCAAGTTCGATTTATGTAGTGCTGTAAATCCTAAAGGGGCCTAAAAGATCCTCAAATAACTTATCAGTTGTTTATTCAGTTTTTCACCGTAGGAAGGTGTCCATTAGGGCCTCAAACCGGTTTTCCTTATTTTCTGAGGTAAAAGCCGCATTTGTTTCGAAGGTTGCACAGACGCATGCACACACAGAACCATTTGTTTACATCAGCAGCAGTTTTTTTTCTTTTTGCATGTTGAACCATGCTGATTCTTTTCAAAATTTTTTTATTCAATGTTATCATCCGAATATTTCACAGAAATTGATCGACGACATGAAAGTGAAGAACTGATAGAATTGATCCAGTTATAAATGTTATAGTAACTAGTTATAATTTGAGTAAATAAGAGTAGCTGTTCATAAAAATATTGAGAACCTAAGGCATAATGCCAAAGTCGTGCAGAAATTTGGAGACGTTCAAGGCAAAGGTGCGCCATACACCTCGGAACATGGCATACTTATCGGGTTTCTGTAAGCAGAGAGGCATTCGGCAGATGTGCAGAATCTGCGTCTCGGCCTCCGCCCCTTTCCCCCCTCCCCCTCCTTTCCGATTTATTTTAGAACGATCTGCATAACAATTGAAGGCAAAGCCCGCGACCACAGATTGTGGGTAACGGAACCCACATAGGAACGAAAAAGGGCTAGGTATCTGATTAGCGGAGAAAAGCAGCAGAAAAACAGCCGAAAATGCCCTAAATAGGATTCCATATCGACCCCAACTTGTACATGCATGCAATGAAGAAAACGCATGTTTGTACGAATTTCCACTCGTCGTTATCATAAAGATATCAGCTCTTTTATCGTATCACCTCACTCTCACCATTCGCAGCTAGCAGCCGGTGGGGGTCGGCATGGGCCTAAGGGGCGCCCATGGGCCTAATTGGTTAGCTTGAAGCGGAATTCTTGCCGATTTTCACTTTCTAAAGGTAGCGCAGCCTCCGCAATCTCCTTCCGGATCGTCTGACACATTTGAAAGGTCATAGCCTTATTTTATCGCGGAAAGTGCCTTTAACGTCAACTTGACGTCATGCTCTTGTATAACTCGTCTTTTATCAGTTAGCTCAAGCTGCATTTACCGGCTTTCATTACAGTCCCCTAGGAGCAGTTTCTGTTGTGAATAACACTGATCAAATGAGTATGACTTACTGACGGTTTGGAATGAACCCGCGACCAGCCGGGTTCACAGTCAAAACCTTTAACACGTTGGCGACATTGCGTCCCACTGCTGGGATGCGGCATGGGTAAAAAACCAATTTGAAGACGTTTCGAATTTTCAACAGCTGCATATTGTCCATGAAGGCATTGTAGAATATACAGTAGCTGTAAACCGTGCAGTTGTGTCATTGAGAGTATTTTACCGAGGAGACAAACGAAAGTGATTTCCTAGGAAAAAAAATTCTTGGATATATAGAACTGAAGCTCCACATGCAGATAGCTAATGTGATAAGGTAACTTTCAACAATAGCAGATCTGAATCGAATCCAATTTACCACCTCTGGCGCGAAAATATTCCTTTTTTGCGACCTTGTTCCCACGCTCCACGTGAATGAGGCGGGAGTATTCCATGAAATTTCAGGGTTTATCTTGAAAGTAAACAAGAATAGCGAAGCCTTACTAGCTTCTGCAATGAATTCTGACCATTCTTCAATTTTTTTTGGCGTATAAACGCCCTAGCATTTATGCGCATTCTTCGAAAATAGGGAAAAACTGCTTTGTCCCACGCGGCAGACACGCGAAAAGGCGCCTTGTCGCCAATGTGTTAAAGCGAAATGTTGGGAAAATATGTATAATACACACATCAGACTCGGTCGCATGGTTATCAGGAAACCTGTATGCGTTTCTAAACAAAAGCCGATTTCCACTCTTCTACCTGCGAAGTGCTGATATCGTATTTACAAGTGCTTTGTATATGCTTCCCGTGCATTTTGTTCAGACGCGTCTGTTTTGTCTGTATACTGCGCTTATTGGGACTAAATATTTGAAGTAGCGCTTCTACGAGAGCTTCAAATAAATAAGCATTTCTTTTTGATTCGAATTTGTTTCGTAAAATTTGTTTTTTTTTCTATTTATGGTTTCCTTCTGAAAAAACCGATATGCCATAGTCGATGTATCGCCTTTAGCCGACGAGAAGCGGCGAAAGAAGATCGAGCATGTGCAACGTTCTCCAACCGTACAGTTGCTGTATTCCAGAATGACTGATCTTGTCCATAGCTTTTCGAATCTGGTACGTAAAGCTTCGTCCCCTTGTTCTGCCACTTACCAGGGAAGTCCGCCAACTTACCATGGAACTTTGAATGGAGACCTGGGTAGATCGATAGAGTCTATAAGGTTATTTACAAATATAGATAGCAAAACTGCAACCTGCATTTCACAAGCAACTTATGAGCAGGTAAAGTTTGTAATGGTGCAGTAGGGTGGAGGCTTGGTGGTGAGCTGTGAAGCATAGCTAGAAATCACGGTGGTTCAGTGGTAAGGTTCGACGTTCGACGACTCGATTCGACGTATGCGATTCCTCGCTTATGCTTCACAGCTCACCACCAAGCCTCCACCCTACTGCACCATTACAAACTTTACCTGCTCATAAGTTGCTTGTGAAATGCAGGTTGCAGTTTTGCTATCTATATTTGTAAATAAAATAACCTTATAGACTCTATCGATCTACCCAGGTCTCCATTCAAAGTTCCATGGTAACTTGGCGTACCTCCCTGGTTGGGTTTTGTTTTAAGTTGCTGTATTTCGTCGCCCGTCCATTAGGACCGAGGTGCCGTCCACATGAATATACAACTTCAGGTTCGCCAAACAGATCTGGCAGAAATGTGCATTCATCATCTGGCTTCAATATCTATCCAAGCATTCTTCGTGAACAACGTCGGAGAATTGCAGCAAAATGTGGGCATATACTGTCAATCTTTCTGTTTCATTGGTATCAATAGCATCTATCAATAGCATCAGTTCAATATTTTTAGGCATGTAATCTAGCAGCGAATATTTTCACGAATGCAAAAGAACATGTGCGGATGGGAATGTTAAACGACATCTTGAACTCCTTGCATCGTTCGCCATGTGGTCGAAATGCGAACAATGGATACAGATTTGGCCCAGATCAGTGGATAAGCAATACTACAGTGCTTGTGCTCCAGTTACTGCAAAGCGTTGTCAGAGTAAGATCAGCCCCTGATTCTTTTATCCGTGAATGCCTTTGTGCTATTCATTTCGCTTAGTCATCATTTTTCCAGATACCAGAGAGAGTTCATCACAAAGGAGAGCACACTGATGACCCTGATTCTGAGCCAGCCATTCAGTCAGATTCGGTTGTTCCTACTTCATACAAAGAAGTCCAGACGCTCGCACAGGCTTTCGCATCCGGATTTCTAGCGAGGTTTGTATTCATGAAACTATGGGTTTAGTTTGCATTCTTGAACCAATCCGCAGCTTTTTTTTGTAGAGAGAAAGGCACTGGTTTGCCATTTCGAATTGACTGCTCCAAAGAGGGAAACTTGAGTGATAATTCTAGGAATTTTAGATGGACCCTCCATCTCCATTCATGAGCTTTTGTCACTCTCCTTTTTTGCTTGGATTCTATTCTGAAGGCAAACAACACTCATCTTTAGGGGCCATCTTCGTCAAATGCGAGAAGAATGGGTTTGAAGCTGCGCAAGTGTGGCACTTTCGCCAGTCGAAGGCGCGCGAAAGTGAAATTGAAGAATATTGATACCGCTGACATTTGTATCTCCTCACGCGCTATCCTTAGGGTGCAGCACTTGCGTCGGTACCAAATCGGGCAGCGAATACGCATTCAAAGGAAGAAAGCAACCAGAGAGGACGCAGACAGAAATCGCGGCCTGTTATGGTTATGCTAGTGGCCGCTGGCGGCAGCGCGGGTGGAGTATGGAAACGGCTCCCAGTATTGCCCTCGAACCCAGTTTCCGAACATTACTGAGTGGTGAAATTGACACGCTACTACTCCTGAGGGCTCACTCACCTCGCGCATGGTAAGTACTATTACCTTCAGTGAGTGCACAGTCTTTCGGGATTGAGGATCGGTGTGGCAAGTGGTGTGAACCAGTCGCTGTAAGTTTTGAAAAAGCTATGAAACTTCTGGATGGTGCTGGCCCCTTCGACGGTGCACGAACGTCCTTTGCTGTCGAAGAATTTCTGACATTTTGTCTGTCGGTAGCTCTGGAGAATCCTGAAGTTATTTCAGAAATTCCCCGTAAATTATTTGTATTTTGACTAGATTGTCAGTGAATGGAAGCATGTTGCCAAATTTATCTGTGAAATCGTCGACTTTCCATTTTTACCAGTGAAGTATTGCTTAGGTGTTCATCGAAGGGAAACAAAAACGAGGGTGAAGAAGACTATCGAGCGCTTTTCGACAGCTTTCTGCAAGATATGCTCACGGCTTTCAATAAGCCAGAGTTTCCTGCTGCTGAAATGTTCCTGCAGGTTGTGGGTAACCTCTTGGTGAAGAACTGTCGGTGAGTGTGTTTGCCATAGTTCCTTGTAATACGTTAGCATACGCTCTTTTGTGATCAGAGTTTTGAATTGAAGGAACAAAAGTGCCGATATCGCAATTCGAACGGTCAGTCTCGAATATCTGGGGCTGATCACGTCACGCTTAAGAGGTAGCATGATATGGTCTATTGAAGATTCCAAGGAGCGCATGGATGTATGTTATAAAGATTATCCTCTTCATTTCTGCCATCGTTCCCTCAAACTTAGGTTTTTTTCACTTTAGCTAAAGAATCTTATTATAAGCGTAAATTTAGCTCGTCGTAAGAACCATCAAATATGAAGACAATGTGCAGGAAGATGGAACTTCTTTATGGCCAAGCGTAGCAGACGTAGATATCTCCGACGTACGTTTATTATGCAGAAGTCCTGTTATGTACACAAACGCTTTTCTTCACATTTCATTTTTTTTGCGGGAATTCAGTTCAACTTTTTCCTCTTTTGGGGCAGCAAGGAATATAAAAAAAGATGGTTATTGCGTAGTGGGGCCTTTGCTTAGTGGGCCTTTGCATCTTTCAAACCTTGTGTAGGTTATACTGCGTTTTTTTTGTTGCTACTCTTGCGCATCATTCTCAGATTGCTTGTCCAATTTATTCATATTTCCATGTGGCCCTTTAATACAGCTTTTTTCTCACAGTCCTACCCCCCCTCTATGAATCTCAAATCTTTTGCTATCTGTCAACTTCAACTCTCGAACTGATTACCTTTTACTGCCACAACTAGGCATAATTGCTGCCACAATCCACCATTACTTCGGGTTCGTGCCCAGTTTTTTATTTGCACGCCTTTTTCCAAAACGGTAGATTGGTTAGAAATTTCTGTTCAGAGTGGCTTAGTCTCCTGAACACCAACATCACTCCCGCATAGCCCCAAATCGGCGAATGCCTGTGTTACAGGAGACCCCTCCACATGTCTGTTTCGTCTGCGGCACGTGTAGCGTGGTTTCCTGGTTTGGTTCCGGGTCTGTGTGCTGGGGCGGTTACCGAAACACGGCTGGCAAGGGGCATTGTCCTGGTTGCCTGCGATAGTGCTCTCTCGCGCTTCAGAGCTCCTCAGTCCCAGGCTCATGGTTAGCAGAGTAATTGATCACTATCCCAGAAAAAGGCCGCGCAGAAACAGGCCGAGTCGGAATGTCAAGCTCTTTCCCTTATCCCTTACTCGCGCCCATGTTGAAGCTTCAATCCTGCACAAACTCAAAATAACTCCTAGGAGAAGTTTTCACTCAAGGTAGACTCAAACGGTTTCATACTCAAGGTGCAATACTCGTGTGGTGTGTGTGTGGGTGTGGGGGGGGGGGTCAAGTCACCTCTGGTGACTGGTTTCCTGGCAGATTGAAGTTATGGCCCAAACTTCCAGAACTGGCAGTACAGAGTGAACAGTGCCAGATTTTCTTTTTCCTTAGTTTTCCTCTTATTTTATTGAGGTCATTCTTTGACACTGACTGTGTGTTTCGGGAACGGGAGCAAAGGAATCAAGAGTGGTAGAGCTCGAGCTGAAAATGGCCACGCTGTTTGTGCGAGACTTAATTTTGAGTGTGGCAGAATCCCTTCTGACTTCGGTAGTACCAATGTTAACTTGGCGCTTGGCGCGTTATGCTGAGTGTAAAATGAATCATTTTTGAGCCGCCAAGTACAAGTGAGCTCGTGTACCATAAATAAAAATCAATTACAAGCTCATTTTTCTTCTTATTCCTGCTTCTTTTCACAATTCCTCTTTCTCCTCTTTCTCCTTCTATTTGATCTCCGTTAAAGCAGCTTCCATTGAGCATTTTTCTCTCACATGACAAACTTCAACGGGAGCTAAAGTTTATGGTCGCTGCCTAGTCATGGTCTTTCCTCGGTATCTCAGTCTCGCTGCTTTAACTTACGAAATATCGCTTTCCTTACTGTTTTCCTTCCATTCCGCGGTTGCTGTAGTTTTGTTGCGCTCAGTAGCTTGAACTCTTCTTTCCTCCAGGCTCACCAGAGTAGTTGTAAGAAATGTGTGTTAAATTCTGGAATGGGCACAACAGCGAGTAATTTCAGATGACCTTCAGCGAAAAACAGATGGAGTTGGAACGTGCCTTGCTGGATTACATTATCGTTAATAAGGATATCACTGTAGAGGTTGGTTACTGCTTTTTTTTCTTTGTTGACGTACCAAGCATTGCGTTTGATAAAGCCGTCAGGTCCGAAAGTTTTTTTACTCACGTACCTATTCCAAAACATAGGTTATCAAACATGGGAAAGCATCATAGACATTGTTGGAAACGTAGTCATGGTTCGGTAACTTAGCGCTGCTTTTGTAAGCTTCTAGTGAACGGGATAAACTCGAGAACATTCATATGGCCTAATGTTCACAAGCGGCCATTTTTTTAAGTGGGGGACTATTACCACAGAACAAAAACAGTCACCTATATGGGGAGTTCCCTGACATTCCGGAAGCTACCATTGCCTTTACAATTCACGAAACTCAATTATCTTTTGCTTGCGAAAATTCCGGGATGAAGCGGGGTTGTGGGCTCAGTTAGACGTCTACACTATTCCATTTCAGTATGCTGTAAGGTTTTATTGCTGTGTGTGGTACAAAGAGATTCTCGAAGACCTGCAGGAACTCGAAGCACGATATGCTGAAAGTAAACGTGAGAACTTGTCGGAAAAGGTGATTTCTATGTTTCATCTATTGATTTGACAAGCTGTATCTGCTCTACAAACTCCTAGATTCCTTGAAAATATTTTCTTTTCATTTTAATGTTTTATGGATGTGGTTTTTCTAGGAACACCGTAAGAATGAGTCTCGTCACATGAAGAAAGTTAAGCGTGCACAAGCTCAAAAGATTTTTCTGATTGACCTTTTGGGTCGCAAAAAAGACAGGCAAAGGAGATATGAAAATGCTAAGTCAGTTTCTTATTTCTATTTGTAGCTTTGAAACCATTTGGCCACTGGATAATAACACAAATTTAGACGCTTCGGTAGTTCTATGCTGGAATCTGACGTAGCTTGGTGCATAAAATATCTTGCTGCTAAGAGGGAGTTCACTCATTCCTTTGACTCGTTCCTGAAACAGGTTGGTACTTATTTTGTTTGTATCTGGTACACTTTTTTCCTATATCATAAGTTGTTTCTTGTTTTGCGATTTTCCATGAGATCTTCAACGTGCAACCAGTCTCACTATCGAGTTCTTGTGATTATCAGGGTTATTTTAGATTGTCACTGGTATCACGAGTGAAACCACAGTGAGTTTACGGACGAAAGCCATGCGATGCCTCACTCAGATCATCGAAAGTGACCAATCTGTTCTTCTCATGGTCAGTTTCCACCCTCAGACATTTTATTTTATTGTACCTTATTGACAGTTCCCGCGATCAAGTGGTTCGTGAAATGCCTTCGTGTATTTGGCATCGTGGTCCGCATTTGTAGAGAAAATACCATTTTCGAAGAAGGTAGAGACGCGTGATTGCTACTACGGTTACTTATTCTGCAAGGCAACGACTTATAAGCAAAATTGCGCGTGCATTGCGTTTCCTAGAGGGTCCTAGGGTGATTCCCCGTGCTTTTGCCGGTAATTGGTTGGTAGTCGAATGACTGGGCTTTCTGACGTCCGACAAACTCGTTCAAGGCGCCGGCCGCACTGCTTAGGGGGAGGGCTTCATTTAGAGTGCTTCCGAGGGTTTCCGCTTCATTCTCTGCTGGGAGCCGCTTGACCTACTGGTTCATGATTGAGCACCTACTATCCGTAACACTTGATCGCAGGAATTGCCTTTAATCCTTAACCGTTTCATAGTATTTCATGCAGAAACTTTTGCTTTTTGACTAACCTAGTTTTTTTGTAGCCTGAAGTTTCTTCTGCTGCTCACAACCGTATGACCGATTCCAATGCTGCAGTTCGTGAAGCGACGGTCGAAATGATTGGAAAATTCGTGGTTGCCAATTTTGACGCGATTCCCACATACTATCCTCTCCTTGCGGAGCGCTTAATGGTTTGTTTGGATTTGTGTCGTCTGTGGATCGGGGTTGACTCACACTTTTAGGACACCGGCGTCGCTGTGCGAAAACGAGTCATTCGTATAATGCGAGAAATATGTGAGAAATTTCCGCATTTGGAGCAGGTAAGCGTCCGATTCACTTTCGAGTTTTTTTTTAATATTCATTCATTGTGGACTACTAGTCGGTTACTGGGTAGTGTGCTTTCCATTGCATCTCGGGAACGTACTTCGCGTAGTTTGTCTGTATCCTTCGAACATCGTCAACTTTTACGCGTGCACGCGTGTTTTATGAACAGTGATGAAGCGCGGAATTGATTTCGAAGATGAACTCGAAGATGAGCTAACAAAATGAAGACGAATACACTCCATTGCTAATCACAAAATCATTTGATACGCAAGTATGCATGGGCGCAATTTGGCTAGGGAGGGCATTTTACACTTTCGCTTTACTAGTTTCGGTTTACAAGTCTCATTCTGGTGAAACCTGTGAACTCTTGCGAAGCTGAAGCTAGTTCTCCGACCGCCATGTAAAACCAACTCAAGAAAAGGCTCTCTAGATAGGTGGATACGTTGATGGGAAGCAGCAGATAAGCAAAATGTCCTCTCCCGTCGCCGAACTGCCCGTTCCAACCCGCCCGATATGTCCCATACAGCACCCTACGCTGAAGCGCGCTTGTGCATGCATAAGACGAAGAAAGGGCGTTTTCGGACGAGTTCTGTTTTCTTGGTGTCAGCTCCTCTCTTCACTCTCACCATTCGAAATGCTGTGGAGCAATTGAGCAACCACGCCACCAGGAGCCTTTAGGAATGAAAGCTGGGCGTCGCCTAGGACAGTGCGCGGGGCCGTGGTCCCACTGCGAGTGGGCGATGCTTTTCTCACGTATTTTTTAGCTGCGAAAGTAGTACATCCCGCTACATTTGTAGGCAGGTCCGTCTCTAAACATTGAAACGGGGCTAGCTCTTAATGGAATATTATGCAGGAGGATAATGGCGTTCAAATATGAATTAGGGGATATAGAGTAGCGCACCCGTGAACAAAATACCGGAATAATCACCGCGAACGCTTCGAGTAAGCGTCGCTTTGGGCCGACCTCGCTTGGTGCAGGTCGGTCTAAAGTGAGGCTGAGTTAACCGTTTGCGCAAACTGTTCCTAGATGTCCATAACTCTGAAAAAATACAGTTGTGGAACGACTGCCGCACCGAAGTTTTTAGGCTGGAGTGCTCATATCGCTCGCTCACAATTCTAGTAGCCTGGTGCCAGCTGCGGTTGATTCAGTCATGATGCCGCCACTTTTCCCACACTACTGCAGTCAACGGGAAAAAAAAAACGGGAAAATCATCTGGAGCAGAATCCAGAGGTTGTGAAGGGGCGGTCAGCTGGTGCGTAGGGTGGAGAACTCTCCACTTCGCAAGCCCATCACGTCATTGTCTTACATGCAATTTCGCATGACGAAAGCTGGCACCTTAAATGGCTGTGAAGATGCAACTCGTGTGACGCAGGACTTTTATCTATCCAGTAGTCGTATCTTTTGTATTTAGGCTGGGAACTTCTGCCTAACAAGTTTTTGATTCCTTTCTTGACAGCTGCGGTTTTCACTGCATTTCGCGTTGCGCTTTTCCTCAACTTACTATCAGTTTAGTTACAGTTGTGTCGCGACTCGCCGCCAAAAAAACAGTAGTTAACGAAACAAACTCGAAACTTCTAATTTCCAAAGTTTTCTGTTCAATGATTTTGTGCTGCCGTCGGGTGATTGCCTGGTATCACTGAGTAAGAAAGGTAGCGCGCGGCCTCTGTGATGTGATTTGATGAAAAATACAATAGTGGAGGTTGTAGGTTCAGCTAAACCTATAAATTTTGCCCACGAAAGCAGTATGCTTACGATAAGACCTCCTTGTATCAAAAGTTGTGTAAGTCAGTCATATTTTTATTCTTTTCCAGATTCCAACCATGCTCGCTCAAGTAGTACGGCGAGTGCAAGACGAGGATGGAGTGAAGAAGCTGGTCTTGGAAACTTTCCAGGCGCTTTGGTTTCAACCAGTATCTGAGCGCAATTCAGCAGCGCTTCTCAAGAAGGTATAGCTACCTTGAAATTGTCATTTTTACCTTTCGATGTGTACCGTATAAATTCTTACGGCGCGGTTCGGCGCAAATAGCGCAGTTTTTGAAGAGCTGCGTTAGCGATGTTTGCGAGTAGTTTATATCCTAATTTCTGAAGTGAAATGATAAGGAT